GGAATCAATTATGAAACACTTAGAGGAGAGGAAAGTGATCAGGAACAGTCAGCATGGATTCACCAAGGGGAAGTCGTGCCTGACTAACCTAATTGCCTTCTATGATGAGTTAACTGGCTCTGTGGATGAGGGGAAAGCAGTGGATGTGATATTCCTTGACTTTAGCAAAGCTTTTGATACAGTCTCCCACAGTATTCTTGCCGCCAAGTTAAAGAAGTATGTGCTGGATGAATGGACTGTAAGGTGGATAGAAAGCTGGCTAGATCGTCGGGCTCAACGGGTAGTGATCAATGGCTCCATGTCTAGTTGGCAGCCAGTTTCAAGCGGAGTGCCCCAAGGGTCGGTCCTGGGGCCGGTTTTGTTTAATATCTTTATTAATGATCTGGAGGATGGTGTGGACTGCACTCTCAGCAAGTTTGAAGATAACACTAAACTAGGAGGCGTGGTAGATACACTAGAGGGTAGGGATCGGATACAGAGGGACCTAGACAAATTAGAGGATTGGGCCAAAAAAAACCTGATGAGGTTCAACAAGGATAAGTGCAGAGTCCTGCACTTAGGACGGAAGAATCCCATGCACTGCTATAGACTAGGGACCGAATGGCTAGGTAGCAGTTCTGCAGAAAAGGACCTAGGGGTCACAGTGGAAGAGAAGCTGGATATGAGTCAACAGTGTGCTCTTGTTGCCAAGAAGGCTAACGGCATTTTGGGCAGTATAAGTAGGGGCATTGCCAGCAGATCGAGGAACGTGATCGTTCCCCTTTATTCGACATTGGTGAGGCCTCATCTGGAATACTGTGTCCAGTTTTGGGCCCCACACTTTAAGAAGGATGTGGAAAAATTGGAAAGAGTCCAGCGGAGGGCAACAAAAATGATTAGGGGTCTGGAGCACATGACTTATGAGGAGAGGCTGAGGGAACTGGGATTGCTTAGTCTCCAGAAGAGAAGAATGAGGGGGGATTTGATAGCTGCCTTCAACTACCTGAAGGGGGGTTCCAAAGAGGATGGAACTCGGCTGTTCTCAGTGGTGGCAGATGACAGAACAAGGAGCAATGGTCTCAAGTTGCAGTGGGGGAGGTCCAGGTTGGATATTAGGAAACACTATTTCACTAGGAGAGTGGTGAAGCACTGGAATGCGTTACCTAGGGAGGTGGTGGAGTCTCCTTCCTTGGAGGTTTTTAAGGTCCAGCTTGACAAAGCCCTGGCTGGGATGATTTAGTTGGGAATTGGTCCTGCTTTGAGCAGGGGGTTGGACTAGATGACCTCTTGAGGTCCCTTCCAACCCTGATATTCTATGATTCTATGATTCTATGAGTGTTGTAAGCAAGACACGAGATGTAATTCTTCCACTCTACTCTGCACTGATTAGGCCTCAGCTGGAGTATTGTCTAGTTCTGGGCACCACATTCATGAAATATGTTCGCAAAGTCCAGAGAAGAGCAACAAAAATGAACATCACCTATGAGAGAATCTTGAAAGAATTGGGTTTGTTTAGTTTGGAGAAGAGAAGACTGAGAGGGGACATGATAACAGTTTTCAACTACCTAAACGGTTGTTACAAGGAGGAGGGAGAAAACTTATTCTCCTTAACCTCTGATGGTAGGACAAGAAGTAATGAGCTTAAATTGCAGCAAGGGTGGTTTAGTTTGTACATTAGGAAAAACTTCCTAACTGTCAGGGTGGTTAAGCACTGGAATAAATTGCCTAGGGATATTGTGGAATCTCCATCATTGAAGATTTGTAAGAGCAGGTTAGACCAACAGCTGTCCGGTCTAGATGGTGCTTCCTGCCATGAGTGCAGGGGACTGGACTTGATGGCTGCTCAAGGTCCCTTCCAGTCCTATGAATCTATGATTCTATGATTTGCCTTGTGCCTTTAGGCTATGTCTACACCACAGACCTTACAGCGGCACAGCTGTACTGCTGCAACTCTCCTGCCAGCAAAACTAAACTACCCCTAACGAGCAGCGTTAGGTACGCCTGTGGGAGAAAGTCTCATGCAGATATAACACTGTCCACACTGGCACTTCTGTCGGTCAGGGTGTGTTTCTTTTTACATCCCTGACCGACAAAACGTTAGTGTAGAAAAAGTCTGAGTTGCAGGCTAGTAAAGATGTCCATTGCCTCAAGTCCTGTAATGTTTAAAAAGATTGCTATTTTGTGCTGGTTTCTTTTTCACAAAACCCAGATGCTTGCACAGATAGATCTCAAAACTCTGCCTGAATTGCTGCATTACCCGAGAGTTTCAGCTCTTTGGGGGTTTTCAGTTGTTCCATCTCCAAGATGGCTCCTTCCTTCCTTCCCCACAGCCCTCTTTTCTCTGCCCACACCTCTGGTTCTCCCCCTCCCACCCCGTTGTCTTGGGAATTCATGAGAAGGAGGTTCAGTCTGCACTCGAAGAAGGAAGACGTGATTAGAACTGAATTAGAGTAACAAAAGCTAATGGAGAGCCACGCGCTCCCAGCCGTGTGTTTGGTGCAGCTGCCACTCAATGGCCGGTTCTCGCTCGCCTCAATCGAGTTCCCCCAAACATGTGATCTGCTTCTAAAGACCCAGGACATACTTCTAACAACCAGGGCAGGGCTGTGCATTTCAGCTGTCTCACCCCCACCCAGCAGCTTATGTGACCCTCTCCATCTCCCCACCTACCCCCTTTCTGGTTTGTTGCACACAGTAGCTGTGTCTTGTCTTAATTTGATTTATAAGCTCCTTGGGGCAGGGGCTGTTTCTCCCTCTGTGTTTGCGAAGGGTCCAGCATAAGGGGCCCTGAACTGGACCGGGGCCTCTGGAGACTTCCACAATTCAAATAATGGTCATAAATAATCAGCACAATAATCCAGGAATATCAGGGCCTCCCCCCGCCTTTGCCTTTAGCTACAAAGGAAGGTCAAACTTCCTTGCCAGCTACAGAGTGTTAGTAACTTGAATACAGGTGGACACAGCATCCCTGTTGGGCTCAGACAGGAGAATTTGTTCAGTCTCATTCCAGTGCTAAAAAGCCCAAGTACTGGGCACTGTAAAAAATACCCCAGATTAGCCAGATGATCAGGCAGAAAGTTCACCGACGGGAATGCAAGTGCCCTCCAGCTGGGGCAGTCCTGGGAAGTCTGACTCAGCCTGGAAAGAAAGAGCCCCCATGCCACCCTTGCGCCTCTCTCCTGTCCCATCTTCTTCTGGCTCATCTAGTTTCTGTGTTTTTAAAGGGCTGGACCAACATTTTTTCTCTCTGTTCCTCTTCTGGGAGGTTCCATTCCTTCCTTGCCCACCAGTCCACAGAGCAACTGGAGAAAACTGGTTTTATCTAGAATACATGTACTCCCTTCTTCTGTCCGGGCAAGATCTTGTTAGAACTGATAGGCATCTGTCTCTATATAGGTTGGTCATTAAAGACTCTGTCCCAGCCTCCTGCCCATTAGTCCAAGGAGAATGAGCGATGAGTTCAGGAAAATCCCAAAGATATAAGGATACAGACAGTTCATACAATCTAATGGGAGTTAATAGGGTTAACACATCTGCTCGATGTGCAGTGGCAATCAAACAAACAAACAGAACATTGGGAATCATCAAGAAAGGGATAGATAATAAGACAGAAAATATCATGTTGCTTCTATAAAAAATCCATGGTACACCCGCATCTTGAATACTGCATGCATATGTGGTCGGCCCATCTCAAAAAATATATACTAGAATTGGAAAAGGTACAGAGAAGGGCAACAGAAATCATTAGGGGTATGGAACAGATTCTATATGAGCAGAGATTAATAAGATTGGAACTTTTCAGCTTGGAAAAGAGACGACTAAGGGGGGATATGACAGAGGTGTATACAATCATGACTGGTGTGGAGAAAGTCAATAAGAAAGTTATTTACTCCTGCTCATAGCACATGAACTAGGGGTCACCCAATAGAAGTAGTCAGAAGCAGTTTTAAAACAAACAAAAGGAAGTATTTATTCACAGTCAACCTGTTGAACACTTTGCCAGAGGAAGTTGTGAAGGCCAAAACTATAAAATGGTTCCAATAAGAACTAGATAAATTCATGGAAGATAGGTCAATCAATGGCTATCATGCAGGATGGGTAGGGATGGTGTCCCTAGCCTCTGTTTGCCAGAAGCTGGGAGTGGGCAACAGGGTATGAATCACTGGGGCACCTGACATTGGCCATTGTCAGAAGACAGGATACTGGGATAGATGGACCATTGGTCTGACCCTGTATGGCCATTCTGATATTCTTATAGAGACCCTAGATGTATCTGCCCCCCTCCCCCTGCTGCAATGAACTAGACCCCACTCTCCTCCCAGAGCTGAGGTAGAACCTCGGAGTCCTGATGGGGTCTCTCTCTCTCTCTGCAGAGTTAGTAACAAAGTAAGAATATACATTAATATTTTAAACCTAACCAGTGTCAATTATGTGACTTGGCACAAGATGTCAGAACATGTTAGTATTAGAGCTGAGTGGGTCTAATATTTATTTTATTTTATTTCTTTTATATCAGAATTAGATACAGTGCTCCTGTCAACTAATTGCTAAGCTATCTGCCAAAAAACTGGAGTTTTCAAGAAACTAAGTAGCCCTTGGAATAACAGTTAAAGTTGCCACCCCTACCAAAATCTAAAAATGCTCCCTTGTAGCTTGTGTGTGGGGAGGGAGGTGGAAATGATCCAGCAGGAGACAGGGGAAGGGGAATAGAGGAGCAAGAGACAGGGGCAGAGCCTTGGGGGGAAGATGTAAAGCAGGGTCAGAGCCTTGGTGGAAGAGGTGGGGAAAGGGGTGGGGTTTCAGGGGTCCAGATACCAGCAATTAGAGATGTGGTAACCCACAGAATTGTACATAGATCCATTCCCCACTTTGTCATGCTGACACAGCACAGTAAGGTCAGGAAAGTATTTAATGCCTTTTTTACTGTCCGGTAAGTGATTCAGAGAAGAGGGCCCAGCACCATGTCACCAGCCAGCTCTGCACAGAGCTCGGTCTGAGAGCCAGAGCACCAGGAGAAAACTTTACATCCCTTTATGAGTAAGTAGCTGGAGCAGCCTGTTCCGGATCTGTTTGGTCCTCACCCCATAGATAATGGGGTGTAGCGTGGGGGGCACAATCAGGTATGAGTTGGCCATGAGAATGTGGAAATGTAGGGCCACATTATGTCCAAACCGGTGCACGAGGGCGGAGAAGAGAACTGGGATGTAAGAGGCTAAAATGACAATGAGGTGGGAGCCGCGGGTACCAAAAGTCTTGAGCTGGGCATCCTTTGTGGGCAGGCTGAAGATGGCCCTGAGGATCTGGGTATAGGACACGGCGATACAAAACACATCCAGAGCAATCACCAAGAAAGTCACAGAGAGGCTGTAGTAACTACTGATGCTGATGTCGGCGCAGGCCAGCTTCACCACAGCCATGTGCTCACAGTACGAGTGGGGGATGATGTTGGTTCCACAATATGGCCACCGCCTGGCCAGGAAGAGATAGGGCAGTATGAGCATGCCGCCGCGCAGCACCACTGCCAGGCTGATCTTGGCCACCACGGGGTTTGTCAGGATGGTGGAATGTCTCAGGGGATCGCAGATGGCCACGTAGCGATCGAAAGCCATGGCCACGAAGATCCCAGACTCTGTCACTGCGGCACAGTGAATGAAGAACATCTGGGTGAGGCAGGCACTAAAATCGATCTCCTTGGAATTGAACCAGAAGATGCTCAGCATTTTGGGCAGGATGGACGTAGACAGGATCAGGTCAGTGACGGCCAGCATGCAGAGGAAATAGTACATGGGGACATGGAGGCTCAGCTCCATATTCACGATGAACAGGATGCTGAAGTTCCCCAAGACAGCTACTGCATACATGGCAGAGAAGAGGATGGAGATCCATATATGGGCCACCTCCAGGCCAGGACTGCCCAGCAGGATGAAGGTGGAGAGGTTGATCAAGTTGATTACTCAGATAAATGAATTATGAAGAACTGACCCTACTAATATCAATTCCATGTTTTATGGTGCTCCACGCATTGATTCATCGTACACATCATGGTGTGGAAAACCTTAATAGGAACCAGCAGGAAATCTGACTGTGGATACTGGTTATCCATCATTGTTCCTTAGGCCTTGTCTACACTGCGAAGTTTTTTCACCAAAAGGCAGCTTTTGGTGAAGAAACAGTGGAGGTGTATACTCTGCAAAGCTGCTTTCGATGATGGAATTCCTCAGTTTCAGTGAGATTATAAAACCACCTTGATGAAAGCTGTAAGGCTTTTTAATCAAAAGTTTTGTTGGCAAAGTGCCAATGTAGACATTTGCACTTGATTTCATCACAGTCATAGGCCTCCCAAAGGAATCCTACAATGCCCATCCTGACCACTCTGGTCAGAAATTTCAACTCCGCTACCCGACATCCAGGCAAACACCTTCCACCCTCACACCCCTGTAAATTCCCAGGAATTTTGAAATTCCTCTTCCTGTTTGCTCCATATGGAGAGCTCACATCACATGTTCCCAGGTAATCATGGTGAATCCACGCAGCATTTGCTCTCCCACTTGGACCACTGGAGAGCTACTCAGTATCTGGGGAGAGGAGGATGTGCAGTCATCACCCAATCTCTAACAGATAAAGCCGATAGAAAGGGGATTTTTGAGACAGGCTCTGAGAATGGGGGAGGCTATCATATGTGGACTGAAAAGTCTGGGACTGTTTAGTTTAGAGAAGAGACAAAGGATGGGGCATATAATAGAGGAGAACAAAATAAAAGAATGGAACTGATTACATTCAAATAGAGAAACAGAGAACAGTTCCCAATCATTAATAGCTATCTACAGATACCCTTCAAAAGGGATAATTCCCCAAAGCTGAGGAAAATTATCAGCAAAACTGACTGGGAGGAAAATATTAGACAGGAAAATGGGACTGAAAACTGGGAGTTCGTTATGAAGAGTTTACTGGATAGCTAAAAAGTCACGATTCCACAGTCAAAGAAGTGGAGAACTTTGGCTAAAAACCAGGTTCAGTGACAAAGTGAAGGCAGTAATTATGTGGGGAAAAAACTATATATACACATGGGGAAAATGGGAAAATAGATAGCAAGCAATACAAATGGGATGTTATGAAAATTGATAAGGGACAGGGTGTGACAAGGACACAGACTGAGTCCCACACAAATATTATCCTCTCAGGGGACTCTAGATAGATTTGTAGATTACACCAGGAGGGACCATTGTGATCATCTGGTCTGACCTCCTGCATTGCACAGGCCAATGGACTGCCCTGGATTAATTCCTGTTCGAACTAGAGCAGATATTTGAGAAAACCATCTCATGTCGACTGAAACTTGGCCAGTGATGGAGACACATCATGATTCTTGCTAAATTGTTCCAATGGTCAATTACCCTCAGTGTTAAACATTTCCACTTTGTCACTAGTCTCAATTTGTCTACCTTCAATGTCCAGACACCGATTCTTGTTCGACCTTTGCCTGATAGCTTTAAGAGCCCCCTATTATCAAGTTTCTGTTCCCCATTGTAAATGTCGATAGAATGCAATCGTGTTACTCCATAACCTTCTCCTCGTTAAGAGCGCAGAGGACAGGTCTGATGTGCTCTCAGTAGCCTGAGTTGCTGAGGAGAGTCTCTGAAGCCTTCAGTACTAATTGGAGTTTCAAAATCAGTGAATGTGTCATGCCCAGCTATACTGCGTTACTACCGTCCAGACAGGAGTCACTAAAGGTCTATATAACTGAGACCTGGCTGTAATCCACCATTATGGGATGGAGTCTCCTAATCAACCTAATATAGTAGAAAGCACTACTCACAGATGCTGCTATGAGAGAGATCAGCATCAGCAAGGCATCCAAGAGCCCTCTAGACTATAGATTGAATTGCCCTATTGTGGGTGTGAACTTTCAGTCAAAGGACGCTGCACCGTGGCTGCTAACTATTCAAAATGCTTTCCTCTGCCCACCAGCATCACCTCTGTCTTGTTTGGGTTCAGCTTCAGCCAGCTGTTCCTTCCAAGAACTGGGCCAACTTGGAGATAGTGATGTGGTCGTATGGGCAGGATAGGAGGAACTCTATGTCACCTGAATATTGCTAGCCTTTGAGTCCATGTTGTGTGACCAGTTCCCATAGAGGCTGCATGGAAATGTTGAAAAGCCCCAGAGGGAGAACTGATCCTTGTGAGACTCCACCAGGGATGGGTCTAGTGCTGGAGGTGCAGTTTCCCATCACTGCTAATTGGATGCATCCCTCCAAAAAGGATTCAGACCATTTTAGTGCATCCCGCTGGACTCCTGCCGCCTCTTAGGTGAGAAAGCAGTATTTCGTTGCCAACAGTGTCAAACAATGCCAAGAGGTCCAGGAGGCTGAGCATGGATGTCTGTCCCCCGTCCATTGACAGGAGATCATCCATCAGTGCCTCTAAAGTATGGGAAGTGGATCGCAATTGATACAAATTAGAAGTTTTGAACTGTAGAAGATGGGTTAGGGAAGCAAAAGACACCAGAAAGTAATCCATGGCTGGCAGGGCTAAGGAAAAAAGAGGAAGATTTGCAAGTACATTAGAAACAAAGGAAATCCTAATAGGCCTGTACTAGATGGAGATGGTCACACTGTTAATAATGATGCAGAAAGGGCAAAAATGTTTTTCAAACCTTTCTGTGCTGTATTTGAAACCAGAAGGATGCTGTACTCATGAACATGAGCTTCTTTGCAGCCACTGGTAGCTATAGAGGATGGAAAACAGCACCTACTAGGGATTAATATTTTTAAATCAGCAGCCCCAGATATCTCGCACCCAGAGAGTCCTAAAAGAGCTGTCTGAGGAGATCTCTGTCCCACTAATGTTAATTTTTAATAAATATTAGCGGGCCAGGGATATCCCAAAAGACTGATAAGAGTGCTAATGTTCTGTCAGTATTCAAAAGGGGATGCTTTGGGTATGAAATGCCTGTTAGCTTGACATCACTCCTGGGAATAAAAATAGAAAAGTGGATAGAGACTTAGTCAATAAAGAATTAAAGGGTAGGAATACAATTCATGCCTTTTTTGGGCAATAAGAAGTTTGGGTGAAAAAGGGAACTGGGGAGATGGAATAGACTTAGACCACTGCAAGTTTTTTGACCTAGTACCACATGACATTCAGATTAACAAACTAGCACTAGACAAAAACAACAATTTTCACTCCATACATCTGAAGAAGTGGGTCATAGCCCACAAAAGCTTATGCTCTAATAAATGTGTTAGTCTTTAAGGTGCCACAAGACTCTTCGTTGTTTTTGCTGAAACAGACTAACACAGCTACCCCTCTGAAACTTAGCACTAAACAGCACCACTAGAGCACTCGTTATCGTGAGAGACGTAAGAGCATACATAAGAACAGCCAGACTGGGTCAGACCAAATGTCCATCTAGCCCAGTATCCTGTCTTGCGACCGAGACCAGTGCCAGGTGCCCCAGAGGGAATGAACAGAACAGGGAATCATCAACTGATCCATCCCCTGTTGCTCATTCCCAGCATCTTTCAATCAGAGGCTAGGGACACCCTCACTGCCCATCCTGGCTAATAGCCATTGATGGACCTATCCTCCATGAATTTATCTAGTTCTTTTTTAAACCCTGTTACAACATCTTGACCTTCACAACATCCTCTGGCAAAGAGTCCCACAGGTTGACTGTGCGTTGTGTGAAAAAATACTTCCTTTTGTTTGTTTTAACCGTCTGCCTATTAATTTCATTTGGTGACCCCTCGTTCTTGTGTTATAAGAAGGAGTAAATAACACTTCCTTAATTACTTTTTCCACACCAGTCATGATTTTATACATCTCTATCATATCCGCCCAAGTCATCTCTTTTCCAAGCTGAAAAGTCCCAATCCTATTAATCTCTCTTCATATGGAAGCCATTCCATACTCCTAATAATTTCTGTTGCCCTTTTCTGAACCTTTTCCAATTCCAATATATCTTTTTTGAGATGGGGTGACAACATCTGCACACCGTATTCAAGATATGAGCATACCATGGATTTATATAGAGGCAATACAATGTTATCTGTCTTATTATCTATCCCTTTCTTAATGATTCCCAATATTCTGTTCACTTTCTTGACTGCTGCTGCACATTGAGTGGATGGTTTCAGAGAACTATGCACAATGACCCCAAGATTTCTTTTTTGAGTGGTAACTGCTAATTTAGACCCCATCATTTTATATGTATAGTTGGGATTATGTTTTCCAATGTGCATTACTTTGCATTTATCCACATTGAATTTCATCTGCCATTTTATTGTCCAGTCAACAAGTTTTGTGAGATCCTTTTGTAGCTCTTCACAGTCTGCTTTGGACTTAACTATCTTGAGCAGTTTTGTATTGTCTGCAAATGTTACCACCTCACTGTTTACTTCTTTTCCCAGATCATTTATGAATATGTTGAAAAGGACTGGTCCCAGTACAAACCTCTGGGGAACACCACTATTTACCTCTCTCCATTCTGAAAACTGACCATTTATTCCTATCCTTTGTTTCCTATCTTTTAACAAGTTACCAATGCATGAGAAGACCTTCCCTCTTATCCCACGACGGCTTATTTTGCTTAAGAGCCTTTGGTGAGGGACCTTGCCAATGGCCTTCTGAAAATCTAAGTACACTATATCCATTGGATCTCCCTGTTCAGACTTGTTGACCCTCTTGAAGAATTTTGGTAGATTGGTGAGGCATGCTTGCCTTTTACAAAAAACATGTTGACTTTTCCCCAACAAATTATGTTCATCTGTGTGTCAGACAATTTGTTCTTTACTTTAATTTCAACCAATTTACCTGGTACTTCTGAAGTCAGATTTACTGGCCTGTAATTGCCAGGATCACCTCTGGAGCCCGTTTTCAAAATTGGTGTCACATTAGTATCCTCCAGTCATCTGAAACAGAGGATAATGTAAGTGATAGGTTACAAACCACAGTTAGTATTTTTGTAATTTCACATTTGAGTTTCTTCAGAGCTCTTGGGTGAATCCCATCTGGTCCTGGCCACTTATTACTATTTATTGTATCAATTTGTTCCAAAATCTCCTCTAATGACACCTCAATCTGGGACAGTTCCTCAGATCTGTCACC